CTCCCCCGGTGTCACCCACCCCGGTTCGGTTGATGCTCAAGACAACACGCCGAATGTTGGGAACGACCAAATTTAGCAGCATTTTCGTCACACGCGAGAACTTGTTGCTGTCGAAAGCAGCAGTGGACGATGGCCCGCAAACTATGAATGAATCTAGTTCTACGGCAAGAACACCCCACTCTACCCATTACCTAACGCTGTCGTGTCGTCGCGGTTAATGCCCTCGTTTCTGCCGCAAGACGGGATGTCGCTTCCGCTGCCCAACATGTTCTACGGTACACTGCTGTTTATCTAGTTGGAGGATCCCGCCTCATCCCATCCTCCACGGAAAACAAGGAACACTTTACTTGGTACAGCAGTGCTGCATGCCCGTTCCCGAAGGCACAGTTGGCCGCACATGCGCCCATCACCTCTTGAGAAGAAAGTGGAGAGCTTCAAATAGGCCGAAGGGCCCGAAGGGGGGGACCTGGAAGAAGCTCAACAATAGGTAGCTTTTACTTCGGAGCGATCGCCACAGCTGTACAACAGTGGAGTACCGCCAATCGCAGCGCGCGCGGTAGAGTACGTCGTCTCACTTCTTCGGTTCCTAAGAAACTCCCCACACTGAAACCGGTCTCTTTTGTATGGCCTCTCTTCTACATATCATTCGCCAGTGATGCAACCACTATTCTCGGGGGTGTTCCTACTTGTCCGCCACTCTCCGCTTCAAGAACCTCTTTCTTTGGACAAAGATGGCCCTAACCTCTAATCGTATTTACTGGCTACAACGCCAACAAAGATACCCTAGGGCTGTACGGAGAGGAGCTCGACATCGAAGTAGAGCGTGGCGTTGGGGGGAATCACGCCTCCTGCGCCGCGGCTGCCGTACCCCAGCTGAGGCGGCACCGTGATCTGGCGGCGTTCCCCGATCTGCGGAACCAGGTCCGTGACACGACAAGACAGGACACCACGCAGCAGCGTGGGTTCCAATTGTTAACACCAACACATAGGTCGGCACGCCCGCGTCGGTAGCAAAGACCAGAGACACACGGAGAGAGGAACAGGCGCACGGCAGTAGTGCCGCTGGCCTATCTGCCCACACAAGAGCTCTAATGTGTGATTCATCTAGCATAAATGGGCTGGAAGACCACGTGCTGCTTAACGGCGATCCGTTTGCGAGATCCCCTGGGCTGCAAATATCGTTGTCGATGACGAGAGTTGGATGAATGCACCAAAGGTGATGGTATCTGGCGTTTCTACCTACACTAAACAATGGGAATGCCTCAAAAAAGCATCTTCGACAATTTTCCATGTCTGCTGCGCACTCTTGTAGTATCGCCTCGCCTTCAAGAAGACGGGTCAAACTCCCGCAACAGCACTTGATTGACTCCCATGGAAAGCCTTGTATCGTACACAACCAACAGCTTATGTATCAAGGATAGTCTTGCGTCTCTTCGGATATTCTCTCACCCTCATGTCGAGCATCGCCTCGTCCCAGGCCTTGATCACCTGATTTGCCCAACACAAAAACACGTGACATTGACGCACGTTTCTCAGTTTCGTATGTAGCGCTTATCTCTGCGCAGGGCCCAAAACGGGTGATTAAGTCAGCTAAAATATGAACCGACGACAGCAACAGCAACAAAAGCACATACTTCACAGATTCCAACAACAGATGTGTACGGTGCACGCCCAAGACACCGCCAAATGAGTCATGTAGCATCAGGTCGGCCTCACATCGTCGTCGTCGTCCCTCTCTCTCTCTCTCTCTCTCTCTCTCTCTCTCTCTCTCTCTC